TCTGTGTGAAACATGTCTACTGTTCTTTGTCCTATATGGAAGTTGCTGTGTCTGCACTGTATATTTTATGAAGATTTAAATAAATGAATTTTTATCCAACACCCTGTTGAAGTGTGGCCAACCCATTTGTTCGCTCATCATTTCTACATTTATGGATTGGGCCGGCACCAACTGAAGTGTGGAGGGGCTGTCTGTCCATGCACTCACTTGGAGCGGTTGTTCTTTTATTCCCTTCCTGCTCCAACATGACTGCGCACCAGTGCACAAAAGCAAAGTCCATAAAGACATGGATGAGCGAGTTTGGGGTGAAGAAACTTGACTGGCCTGCACCGAGTCCTGACCTCAATACATTTGGGATGAATTAGAGCGGAGACTGTGAGCCAGGCCTTCTTGTCTGACATCAGTGGCTGACCTCACAAATACGCTTCTGGAAGAATGGTCAAACATTCCCATAGACACACTTCTAAACCTTGTGGACAGACTTCCCAGAAGAGTTGACGCTGTTATAGCTGTAAAGGGCGAGGCCAACCAATATTGAACCCTACTGTTTAAGACTGGGATGCCAATAAAGTTCATGTGCGTGTAAAGGCAGACGTACCAATACTTTTGACTATATAGTGAATGTGAAAGGAGCGCTGGAAATTCAGTTCAAAATATAGAAAATCTTACAATCCTCCATACTGCAAATTCCAGCACTATGGCTTGAAAAGTGTTTCAGGACAGCCAGACAGAAGCTCTCCTGCCTATTACGCTTAGTGCAAAGAATTGCTGTGAATCCTGGGTGAAGCTGCCTTTACAAGGTAAATACTAAAGTATGTCAAGACTGCCTTAAAGGAGTACACAGAATCTCTGCTGCCCACTATTCATAGCCGCAAAGGATTGCTCTTAGCCCTGGGTGAAGTCACCATAGCAGGTTAAAGTGAATAACTCAAGTTGCATTCTAGTACTGTTGCTACCAATTGCATAAAGCCTAACACAGCAAAGATCAGGCCATTTTTCTTTCAGGCAGGTAAGTTTACCAGGAGTTGAGAAAAACCAGAGGAGCCAGGTTAGAAACCAGAGGAGGCTCTTGGTAAGAAACTTGCAACAGCATTTCCTACATGGCCTTCCAGGGACAGTGTCTCTGAGACAACTCATGGTCACATAATCAGAGATGCAGCTGAGGTTGAATACCTGTCATTACCAGCAGAAGGAGCCTAGAATATAGATTGTAAGGTGTTTTTCTCCCTCTAATTGTTAGGACATGTCTTTTTTCTGTGTCAAGGTGTTTTGCTGAAGTTGTGGTGGCAACCAGTTAATTGTCCAAAAGCTCATGGTGGGGATTGCCTGTCCTGCATTTCAAAGCACTAAAGGGCTGTGTTCAGATGCTAGTTTTCCATAGGAAAATACTAAATTTGCATTGCCTCCCTTTACCTGGGAGACTTTCTGACCTTTGCTGGCATCAAAGATAACTAATGTTCCTATCCCTTCAGCAATTTCTGTGCCTTGTGATAGGACCCATGCACTACCAATCTGGGGTCCTGCTCCTCATCCTCTCATTAGCACCTTGTGTATTAGAATGCTGGAGCCAATACTAGCCATTCTGCCTACCTGAAACATTCTTATGGTGGGATCATTAGATGACCCCCTGTTAGGGGAACAGTTGGCTTGGGCTCTGTCAAGCAACCTGACATGATCCTTCTACTTTTCTTGTTTTCCTTGTTTTACAAGAAGGTTCCTGTGCTGTTGCTTCAATTTCTAGTTCCACTATGTTGAGTTGATTCAGCAGACCATCATCCAACCCCATAGTTTAGGGTTTAGGTTCCATCCACTCCTGATAGGATGCACGTTACTAAATTTATGAATGTTTCCTGAGCTTTGGCTGCACACCACTGTCTTTCAGATCTGCAAGACTGCCACCTAGGCTTCACTTTTTCTAAGTTCTACCAGAGGCTTGAGATGATTGAAGCTGTATTACTGCCCTAGCAACAGAAGCAGTTGGTGCAGTCTGTGGCGTCCTTTCTGTTTGCACAGGCATTTGGGTTTTTAGAGCAGTATTTCTGGGTGTTCTCCCTTGAAGGAGGGGGTGCACCCCAGGGAGCTTATCCTGTAGATATGGATGCTGGTGCTTATGGGGATGGTATCATGGATGGTGCTTAATTGTTTTTCTACCAGGTGGACATTTGGCCTCATCTGAAACCAGCTTCTGGTATAAGAACCCTTGAGCATGTTTACAGCTTCGCTGTTGTAATTGCATCATGAGTCTGTGGGTGGTTGTTTTCCTATCTCACAGTTGTATTGCTTTGACCAGCCTAAGGTTAAGTACTCCCTTAATACATCTAAATCAAAGATAGCACACTTGCAAACAACAGTTGTTTAGGTAGCCAACACATAGTCACCTTGCAATGGGCACCTTACACAGAGATGTCAACCGACATGAGAGGCAGGTCAGCCAAACAGATGGTTTTGTGGCTTGTTCCTTCAGCACTACTGGTGAGCTCAGTAGTCCTCACTACAGTTCAATTTAGCAGGAATTCAACTTCTTATAAGATTTGCCTAAGCTTTCCACCCTGGGGCTAATTATTGGCCTACCACATGCATGCTGCCATGTTGACGCAAGGAACAAGGAAAATGTATAATTTTCCTTTCCTGGCACCAATCCATGGCAGCATACTGAACCCATCCAGTTTGTTCCTAGTGATGTACAGGGAATGGACTGTAGTGTGGTTGTCAGCTCTTTATAGCTATGCACTGGTCCTGTGGGCAGAAGTAGGCAGGGCTACTACCTCATGTAGGCTGCTATGGATAGGCAATAGAAAAAGAAAATGAGGAAAAGTAGTTGATAAAGTTTTCCGTTTTTCTCAACAAAATAAAGCATGGAGACATGGATGAATGGGGGAGTTTGGTTTGAGTAATAAAAATGAACTAAAGCGTTTTTGGTTTGTGGTTCTTCACTTTAACAATGCAGTAACTTGGTTATAATTAAAATACCTTTGCACTATGCAAAAATATGCACTGCACAGGACTGAAGTGATTTGCAGGCTGAGCATCTGTATTTAATTTGTTGCATGTATTTCGATTTTATGTAAGCCTTTAAAGCCCACAACAGTAAAATCATGCTTGTACAGCATGCTTGTTATATTCACTATGGAACCTAAGGGGTTAACCCTCTGCATTGTGTAAAAAGGCAGGTTGATCCAGATTGCTCTGTTCCTCCCCTTGTTTAAGTGACCACCTCTTATCTCCTGATAAGAGAGACTGAGCGGTAGGCATTTTGTACATTTGATGAAAGAGTAGGTATATGAGCGCTATCAAGAATGTGTAGTAGCAGCTAGAACACAAAAGGTAACCAAACAACACCTTCAATAAAACATATGAAACAAAAAAGTGCAGCACTAAAATCAAATAGATCAGATGTGATTGTGAAGCAGATGACCCCGCACACACCTGAATGAGACAGGCATATCTCTAAGGCGTATTTTTTATGCACCTCTGGTGAGTGCGCAATTTATTTATTTACTTTTTTATCACTACTTCGGATCAAGTCCCCCACGCATAAGCTTCACAATCACATCTGATCTTCATGTGGACTTTCTGTCATCTTTGGGACTTGTAATTAATTGTCGCTATTAGTGACAGGAACTTTGCATTGTAATCTATTTGATTTTAGCGCTGAACCTTTTTGTTTCATATATTTTGTACATTTGGTGTGTTTTGCTAGAGAAGTTTTTTTTTTTTTCTTGGGAGAGTGCATGTGATCAGGCAGAGGTCAGGGGTTTTGCATCCTCCTAGAGCAGAAGGAAAACTCCTCCTTCAAGCTTTAGGTAGTGATTAGCTGAACACTGATAGAAATCACAAGACTGCTCTAACTTCTGATGAGAAACGGTATTTAGCAGTTTATGTTTCCTAAAATAATTGCACTTCCATATTCTGTGTACTGTGGGAGACCAAGTATAGTGGATGCAGGGTCCTGGGTTTAGTAACATTTTGACCAGTGCTCAGTTGGACACTGATTGAAGTCACACGACTGCTCTAACTTCTGATGAGAAAAGGTATTTAGCAGTTTATATTTACTAAAATAATTGCATTTCCATGTTCTGTGTACTGTGGGAGACCAGATAGAGTGAATGTAGGGTCCTGGGCAGGGGCAGACTGACAACTCATGGGGCCCTCGGGCAATAGGGGATCATGAGGCCCCTGTGTCCTTTCCCAAACTCAAAAAAGCCTATGAAAAAGGTACCAGGGGCATCTCATGGGGCCCCCTACTGACCCCAGGCCCTCGGGCAGTGCCGAGTTTCCAAATGGTCAGTCCGCCCCTGGTCCTGGGTTTAGTAACACTTTAAGGTTTTGTTTTATATACTTCTGATTTACAAGGCACAGGCTCCCTCTTGTGTCTGAATGAAAATACTAGAAAGTCAAGGAAACGCACAATACAATCTTACACAAGCCATACAGAGATATACAAGTATATAAGCAGTATGTAACTATAGGAAACCAGGAGAGATAGCCGACCTCCTGATGACATCACAGATGAAGATGTTGGCTTGGGATCTGGTGTGCAGAAGTTCCGCACGTCGGGTCGGAAGTCAGCAGGTAACGTTTTACTCTGTTGTAATCAGCCCTTTGTTTACAGATATCAGTAGAGCAAACTCCAATTTAAATGGACTGCTTAACAAAAAAGGTTCATGTACTATTTTTGAAACAGGCATGCCACAATGCATGGTAATGTGTTACGGTGGTGCACAGCAGCACAGGTTTGTTGATAAGGTGCATAAAGGTGCCATTAAAGTATAAATAAAAGCAACAATTTTTTTTTTTTAGTTTTGGATAGATTGGAGAGGGTTTAGAACCCCTGTTACTTCTTATTGCCTTCTGTGATCCTGTTAGGGAGATCCACCTTCTCCATTTATCCTATTTACCGTTATCATCGAAAGTGAAAATAAAAGAAAATTCCACATTTTGGGTTGAAGCCAGAACAGGAACAGGGGGGGGGAATCTTCCAAAGGACATACTAATTCTGGTGACTCTAGTGATCCTCTCAATTTGGAGGGATTTCCTCCACTTTCTGTTTTGGCTATGGGACAGGAAATGAAGGGAAATCAATGAGATACAGATGGCAAAAAATGAATTAATTGCATTAAGTTGTACTCAGGGCTGGACTGACCATTCAGGCGCTCGGGCACTGCCCGAGGGCCGGGGTCAGTAAGGGGGAGGGGCGGACTGACAACTCATGGGGCCCCCGGGCAATAGGGGATCATGGGGTCCCTGTGTCCTTGCCCAAACTCAAAAAAGCCTATGAAAAGGTACCAGGGGCATCTCATGGGGCACCCCACTGACCCCAGGCCCTCGGGCAGTGCCCGAGTTTCCAAGTGGTCAGTCCGCCCCTGGTAAGGGGCCCCATGAAATGCTCCAGGTACCTTTTATAGGCTTTTTGGGTGTGCTTTGAGTGTGGGCAAGGACACAGGGACCCCATGATCCCCTATTTCCCGGGGGCCCCATGAGTTGTCAGGCCGCCCCTGGTTGTACTTTAAGAAAATCAGTATGGTGGTATATATATATATATATATATATATATATATATAGTGACAGTATGAACGGCAAAGTGATGGATGGACGATATGTGTCACCTCGCATGAGGTCATACTGTGAGGTGTAAGGTGGAGTCCACTCGGGTTTTCGGGGCCACAATGGCAGAGGTGGTTCCGGACCGGAGTTTGTGCTCCACTGATGACCACCAACAGGTGGTATAAAGGAGGCAGGGCTGGAGCAAGGAGTTGCTCGTGGCCTGGGACTCAGAGGTTTTCTGAGAGAGCTGTGTGTATGCACTATACCTACAAGAAAAGGTTTGCTTTTGTTTGGTTTTCGGGTGACAGGGAGAAGCCCTTCACCTCTGAGAGAGGAAACGTCTCCTGTTTAGTTAGTGCCTGGATGGCAAGGGTTTATTTTGATGTTTGTTTATTTTTGATATGTTGCAAACCTTTTAAATAAAGCTGACAACCCGTCAGACTTTAAGAAAGCCTGCAGTGCGGTCTACCTTTTTCCCAGGGAAGGTGATCCCCCACCTGAGCTAACCCCACAATATATATATAGACAGAAAGTTCCCCTTAGACTGGTGATCCATTGAAAGAATGTCCCCTTACACGTAGCTGAAAACATTACTGGGATCCATGTTACTTATATGAAAGCCAAGAAGGAGAGCTAGAACCACAATTTTGTCATACAAATGTAAGAGTTTGTGCTTCCCCCAGTTTAACATATTGTTAACAAAGACATGTTACAAAGGAAGTTGTGCAGGGGCAGTCCTGACATCAGGAAAAACAACAATTGATTGGTCAAGGTTTTTTAACCTGCTTAACTGCTTTTCTGCCTGAGAACACTCATTCATGACTATCATATACTGCCCCATAAACTCTGGATCATCACCCAGTCCAGCCATGGCTATCTTTATTGCAGGCTGTTTGGTAAACAAAGCTTTAACTACTTCCCGTTTATCGGCAGCACTTTCCTCACGCTGTCACAGAGCAGATCAGCAATGATTATCAGGGCACTGAGGATCATTGCCCGGATGATCAGTGCCCTGCAGTGTTGCCCAGCAGTGTCACCCACCAGTGCCTCCCACTAGTGCCCAGCAGTGCCTCCCACCAGTGCCCAACAGTGCCACCCATCACTGCCCCCCCCCAGCACTGCCACCCATCAGTGCCGCCCATCAGTGCCATCAGTCAGTGCTGCCAGTCAGTGCTGTCAGTCAGCGTTGCCCATCAGTGACACTTATCAGTGATCATAATTGCTGCATATCAGTGCATCATCATCAGTTCCTCCTCATCAATGCCCACCAGTGCCGCCTCTTCAGTGCCATTACATCAGTGCAGCCTATCAGTGCCCATCAGTGCTGCTTATCCATGCCCATAAGTGCTGCCTATTAGAACATTACCTGTTTGCAAAATTTTAAAGGTAGAAACAAAGAAACTTTTTTTCCACATTTTTTGTTCTTTTTTTGTTTATAGTGCAAAAAAATAAAATACCCAGTGGCTTCTAAATACCACCAAAAGCTCTATTTGTGTGAAATGTTTTTTAAAAAATTTCATATGGGTACAGTGTTGCATGACTGCGCAATTGTCATTCAAAGTGCAACAGCGCTGAAAGCTGAAAATTGGCCTGGGCAGGAAGGGGGGGTATAAGTGCCCTGTAGGCAAGTGGTTAAGGAGGGTCATCCTCTCTATCTGTCCTGGCAACCATTATCACCAAAAGTGAAATAAAACCCCACATTTTTATTAGTCATGAGAACAGGAAAAGTGGGGAAATCTTCCAATGGGGACAGTTCTGTGACCCTGGTAACACTTTGGAGAGATTTCCTTTTACTTGCTGTTTTGCCTTTGAGACAGGAAGCGAAGGAAAATCTCCCCATAATGGCAAAAAAAGAAACGGGCAGGGATTATAAATCTCCTTTAGTGTTTCCAAAATGAAAATAAAGTTTTACCTCTAATTTGAGAAAGTATTTAATCAGTAAAGTTCTTGTTTGAATGCAGATGATTAAATAGCCACAAGATGGCAGTGACGCACCATGAAAAACTTTCATGCATACTTCCCAAGTGATGGAACCAGCCTGGGGCAGGGTAGGGACATGATCCACGCTCTAATTGGGTCCTAAATAACTAGAAGATGTACTGAAGAACTGCTTGTATTTGCATTTCTTCCTGAAGCAATGTTCCTGGAGTCTTTTAAAGAGAATCTATAGTCGGAACTTTTTTTTTCCTTTTTAATTTTACAGACAGAACTGTAAAACTACAAAAAAAAAAAGTATTTATACTTTAATGGATAACTGCACTTTTGAATGAATGAATAAGTTAAGTGTCAATGGGTTTTTCAAATAGAAGATCTAGATCTGAGACATGAGACGTCGTGGCACCGCCCGGAATCTGAATGTCAAAGGAATCACCTCACCACCAGAAAAAGGGGAGCGGTGCCCCAGTGTCAGTCCAGTCACTTACATGGAGAGAGAAGAAAATACACAGCTCTCACCTCCTGTGCAGTCCCATGTGTAGAGGATGGCCTCAGCCGCCATGCTGGCCACACCCTCTGATGCATTTCGCCTTGCCCACAGGGGCTTGATCACAGAAGAGTGCAGGACAACAGGCCCTCTGAGCTAATATTGTGCATCATTGGCCACAAATGAGAACAGGTGTATGGTAAAGGGGTGTGATAATGGAAGAGAGAGGAAAAAACAAATGAATAAAGAAAAGCAAAAAGAGGAAAAAGGGTGGAAAAGAAAAGGAAACAAATACAATAAATAAAAAAAGAAAAAAATAATAACAAAGAACTAAAAATAAAAAAAATATATAGAAAATACAAAAAGGAGTATATCTTAAGGAATAAACTAAAAAAAGAAAAAAAACTAGTAAAAGAGAACAAAATGATCCATGTAGAAAAGAAAAAAAAAGGAAACCAAAGAGAGGAAAAAGGAAAAAAGAAATGGGGATAGAATGAAAGATCCAGTTCATTGCATTGCTTGGTTTAAATGGATCAGGATTTAAATTCATGTGTGCTGTGTTTAGAGTCAGTAGGGGCAGATGGTATACTCAAAAGAAGGGAAGAGGTTGGGTCAGGCTGACCATTATCCTGTAATGGTAGTAGTCACACAGTAATCACAACTAGCTTCTGGGCCCCATGCTGCACTTCTGTTTACTGAACACAGGAGGTCACCCGTTTGGTACGGAAACCATTCAAAAAATATTTCCCATTTTCTCTTTGCATGCAAAGTGTTTTCTGATTGGATGAGGTGGAGATTTTTACTTCACTGCCCCACCTTTCCACTCATCTAATCAGAAATGTTTTACATGTAAAGTGTTCATGAATGACTCCAGCTCCTGGAGGACAACCTCCTGTGTCCACAATGGAGCAGGGCAGCTGGTCAGCACAGGCAGCAGAAGCTAGAGAACATTGTAGTAGCTGTGATTTCCATCTTTTGCAGGGATCCCAAAGGTATGGCACAAACATACTTATGTAGCGCCTCTCTAGTTAGCCAGGGGGGTGCTAGCTAGATTTGTTCAGTTAGAGGCTGGCTTGCAGCCTGGGACGAGTCAGACAGGTAACTTGAGGTCAGGGCTGAGGACTCTGCAGGTCAGTTCCCTGATACCTCCCCCTGCTCTAGAAGCTTGAGAAGTTTCTAGAAGGCACTGGGTGGGGATGAGGAGGGGCCGATCTGCATGCACAAGGGACTCTGACCAATCTCCAAGCAGGAGGCTTGGTATGGGGTCAGGGCAGCCCTTAAGTATAGGAGAGCCTGGGAGGAGTGAGTCAGTGTCATATGGAAGATGATGTGAGAAGGCTGGAGTGCGGAGGCTGGTAGGGGGCCCAGGAGAGGGGCCTACCTGCAGGCAGGAGCTGGGAAGGAGGATCTCTCAGCCTCAACCATTCCCTGAGAGAGGACAGCCTGGGAAGCAGGGAAGGAGCCAGCCCAGTGTAAGGCCTGAAGACAGCCACCAAGCCACAATCTCATAGGAGAGGACTGAGTGAGTAATCCCACACCCCCTGAGCTGGATAAGAGAAGAGGGCAGTCAGGTGGCAAACCCAACTAACTCCTCATCTGGACGTGCTTTACTAAAGTGGTAGCTTCTGGGTCCCCTTGCCCAGGGATTCCCTCAATACAGCTGGGTGAAGAAGAGGATTCATCTGGGGTCTGAGGAGTTACACCAGAGAGCTAGAGTGCTCTCAGAGAAGAGACATTCTTTTCGTCCTGTACATAATTACTGGGTAGTTGTCCTCACAGTTCACAGTTCCTTGGGCATCCCATGAATCCATCAATATCCAAGTTCAATACCCCTTAATAAAACTACAAAAAAAGCCTAAGGACTGGCTACTGTCTCCCATGTGCATGTGTAGAGGAAGAAAATGTGTGTTGCTTAGCTGTGCAGAACTATAGGGGAACCAAAAACTCAGCGACTCCTAAGGGGGTAGTGCTAAACGTACATTCAACTTACATGGTTCAAGCCGGACCTATGTAACTGGTTAAAAATTGCCATACCTGGCATTAATCTTTAACACACTGCAGTACATCAGGCCACTTTATTACACTTTATTACATTGAACTTCACTTCTCCTCATGCTTCAGGAAACCATCAAATTCTCCTTTATGAAGTCTCTTTTATGAGGGACCTTCATCCAATCAGGTACTCAGTACTTTCTGTATGTGGCTTGGCACCCTAGTAGTTGTTTTGTGAGATCTAGTGTACTGATTTTGTTTAAACTGACACCCAGGAATTCAGTAAATAATAAAAAGATCTGCTACTATTGCAGGTAGTGAGGAGAAGGTAATGCATGTAGATCTAAATAACTATTAAGAAAACAAAGAACCTTTTCGGATTATGACAACACTACCTCTAAAAGTGTTTATCCACTTGCCCTCCAGAGGATTTACCCCCCTTCCTGTCCAGGCCATTTTTTGCGATACGGCGCTGCGTTATTTTAACTGAAAATTGCACGGTCATGCATCACTGCACATGTGGGGCAATCAAAGGGTTAACTGTGTTGAGTGCTGTTTTACTAAGTGGGCTGTGTCTGTGTTCCTCTGTAAGCACACTGCTAAGCAGAGCCATACAAAGCAGTGTGCAGAAGCTGACAGGGTAGAGATCTGTGTTGTTCATACACAGATCTCTCCCCCGTCGGAAATACTTGGCAATCACTGGGTGCCGGCGCGGAAGTGGTTAAAGTGGTCGTAAACTTCAAACATTAAACCTGGAACAAAACACATATTTCTATAGTGTGCACTTGCCTCTGCCCAAAGCACTGACATTTCTGTCTGCTGCCTCATTCCTTGGTATCGTTTTCTTGACACCAAGAGCTAAAAAGGTGACAGGAGAGGGATCTCCAGCTGATTGACAGCCTCAACTCTGTCTCTAGAAATTCTGAAGGACCCTCTGCACACTGGTATATACCCTTTCAAGCAGCAGAATTTCTAGTGTTAATATGTGGTTTCACCCCTTTAGCACCTGATGGATAAATGCATGCACTAGCTGTTGGGATTTGAGCACAGGGATCTCTTGTTTGTTCAACTCTGTCTCTGTGTGCTGCATGAAAGGGGGGGATGTTCCTTCCATTCAATCAGCTCTCAGAGTTCTTTCTACAGTGTGTAACTGCAGCTCCCCACCCCCTGCTTTTTGAATCTGTGAAAAATCCTTTTAACCTCCCTGGCGGTATGCCCGAGTGTAGCTCGGGGTAAAATGTCTTACCATGTGGCGCTGCATAGGGATTCCCTGCAGAGCTTACCTTGTCCTGCGCTCCCGCGATGTGTCCCCTGCAGCGTCCCCGGCCATCTCCTCCGGCCGATGCCGGCATCCGGCTTCTGTGTTCCGGTCCCTGTGACGTCGGGATGTACGGGCACCGCCGGCGGGAAATTTGAAATTTTTAAAAAAATTTCATTTTTTTTCCAAACAAATTTTACATAGTAAAACATTGCTGTTTCAACCCATTTCACATACATTTTGTCCCGAGTGCTTTGTCCTGTGCCCTGCCTGCATTTTGACTGTTCTTTCTGCCTGGAAACAGAGAAACGTCCATGGCATCCAAAAAGTGTCCCTTTAGGTCAAAAGCGGGTTTAGATCAGCTAGAGAACAGCGATAGTAAATCAGAACCACTTGCAGAATTGAGTGATAATGATTTGTGGGGAAATTTGTCATCAGACACTGAAAACGATTTTGCGACTTTGCTCAGCAATGTGCGAACTTGGCGCTCTATTTCAAATTTCAGTGTTTTTGGTTTGATTATATTATTGAATTGTATTATTATTATATTATTATTTTTTATGACTATTTATTAAATTATAATTTATGATTTTGTGTTTCAAATTTTATCCTACCCGGGATGTTTAATAGACTCTTGTTCGGACAGATTTCAGTGAGTTATTCCTAAATTACAGCCGCAATAAAAAAACTACATATTTCCATGCAAAATAATGGTACCGCTTTCAGCACCAAAAATCTGAAATAATCATACCGCCAGGGAGGTTAATCTCTGAGGTTTACAAGGTTGTACAGGACAAATGGCTGCAGATAAACAGGTACAACTCATGCAGAAGGATTTTTTTTCATCTCTGTAAATCACCTGAGGCCAGTCACTTTACTAGGTATATGAAAGGGCTTACAACTACTTTAATATTACAAGTTACAACACAAAATGCCTTCTATGTGACCTTCCTAGAAAAGGGTGATTTCCCACGGTTCAAATGTTATGTTGAGTCTCTCTCACCATACAGGTGAGACACTAGGGGGTTTATTTACTAAAGCTGGAGAGTCCAAAATCAGACTCCCTTCTGCATAGAAACCAATCAGCTTCCAGGTTTCATTGCCAAAGCTTCATTGAACAAGCTGAGGTTAGAAGCTGATTGGTTTCTATGCAGAAGGGAGTCTGATTTTGGACTCTCCAGCTTTAGTAAATAAACCCCTGGGTGTCTGAAATATGTCCTTTCTTCCTCCACAGACCCTTCTGAGAGGTAGTCTGAGGCCTGCGCTATACCTCCTATTCAGGAATCTGTCTCTGCCTCTATACCTAATTCTCCCTTATTTTTCCCTGCCTAGTCTTCCTGTATACAATATATATATATATCCTCTTTTTCTCAAATCCATCTAGTTCAACAAAAACAAGTAAACAGAAAACCACTATATACAGAATCCTATACTCAACAATTGATTCAGAGGATGGCAACCCCCCAATAAAGCATGATCAAATCTGTTCCAGCACAGGAAAGATATTTCTTTTTGATTCCCCGGGAGGCAATTGGATATTCCCTGGATCAACTACCCCCCGGAGTTATTACCTATAAATGTTTATATTCAATACACAGGAAACGTCATTACTGAACCAAGATATAAGGCTACATTCACCCACCAGAGATGGAGAGTTTGCTGCATTCAGAGGTGGCTAAACACTGCCTAGGGATGCAGCAACATTCTGTGCTATGGCTGCATGTGGGCAGGGCCAGTTGATTGGTACATGGAGTAAAGGCACATGGAGACCAAGGAAAATGGCACCATTGTTATTTGGTTAATTAAAAGTATCAAATAACACATGGAGGACAGTGGGAAGGTGCTTAACCACTTCAAGTCCGGACACTTTCACCCCCTTCCTGCCCAGGCCAATTTTCAGCTTTCAGCGCTATCACACTTTGAATGACAACTGCGCGGGTCATGCAACACTGTACTCATTAGAATTTTTTAGCATTTTTTTGAGACAGATAAAACTTTATTTTGGTGGTATTTATTCACAGCTGGGATTTTTATTTTTTTGCTATATAAATGAAAAAGTCCAAACATTTTGAAAAAAGGTGTTTTTCTTATAAAATTTTGCAAATAAATAATCTTTCTTCATAAATCTTGGCCAGAATTTATTCAGTTATCTTTATAGTAAAACAAAAATAACCCGAATTAGTTTATAACCAAAAATGATAGTTTTTAAAAAATGTTTTTTACATTTTTATTTTATTTTTTTAATATTATTATTTATGTCTTTTTTTTAACATACTGTCACCCTAGCAGTACAGTGTCACCATAGTGACACTGTACTACTTGTGGGGGTTATGAAGATTTTTTTTTTAATTTACACTGATTGCTTTTACACCCATAAAGGCTGTAAAAGCAATATTTATTTATTTCAGGTACTTATATAGCGCCGTCAATTTACACAGCACTTTACATATATATTGTACATTCCCATCAATCCCTAACCCTCAAGGGGTATACAATCTAAGGTCCCTAACTCACATTCATATACAAGGGCCAATTTAGATAGGATCCAATTAAACTACCAGCATGTCTTTGGAGTGTGTGGGAGGAAACCCACGCAGGCACAGGGAGAACATGTAAACTCCAGGCCAGAGGTGCCATGGCTGGGATTCAAACCAATGAGCTGAGTACTGCCAGGCAGAAGTGCTAGCCATTTAGCCACTGTGCTGCCAAATAATTTCTCCTTCTCTCTGACTGCATTCTTGCAGCCATTGAGAAATACTATGAGAGCTGTAATTGGTCACAGTTTGTCACATGGTACAAGGCTGTTGTGAATAGCCCTGTACCATGTGACCTCTGTGATCATTCACAGATTTCACAAGTAGTAAGCAATGATGTCAGAAGTGACATCTTGCTTACTACTATTTATCTGATCACTGATTGACCAATCAGTGATCACATGATCGGGACCTCACACAGATATTGGTGCCTCATGCTCCCAGGGAGTGCACACAGGCTGTGAATGCAGGAGCCATTTATAAACGGCAACCCGCTCCTGCTCTGCTCCCGTCTGGCCATTTATGTACATGGACTGGGCAGGAAGTGGTTAACATTCCAACCTTCTGGCTTTAAGAAACACTTAAAAAAATAATAAAAAAAGAACACTGTAGTCAGTTGCAACTGTTTTTTACAGATCAAGCAGTGGGAAAAATATGGAATCACTCAATTCTGAGGAAAATATTATGGAATCATGGAACAAAAACCTACTACAGTATACCACTAGCAGGGGCGGACTGACCATTTGGAAACTCGGGCACTGCCCGAGGGCCCGGGGTCAGTAGGGGGCCCCATGAGATGCCCCTGGTACCTTTTTCATAGGCTTTTTTGAGTTTGGGCAAGGACACGGGCCCCATGATCCCCTATTGCCCAGGGGCCCCATGAGTTGTCAGTCCACCCCTGACCACCAGTACTTGTTTGCACCACCTCTGGCTTTTAAACCAGCTTGAATTCTCTGAGGCATGGATTTAACTATAGACAAACAGTATTCTTCATCCATCCGGCTCCAACGTTCTCCTATTGCAGGTGCCAGATCAGCTTTGTAGGTTGGAGTCTTGTCATGGACCATTTTCTTTAATTTCCACCATAGATTTTCAATTGGATCGAGGTCCTGACTATTTGCAGGCCATGCCATTGACATTTGAAGTCTTTCTTGAAGGAAGGTTTTCACGGCTTTTGCCCTATGCCAAGATGTATTATCATCCTGATAAAGGATGTCATCATCACCAAACATCCTTTTAATTGATGGAATAAGAAAAGTGTCCAAAAGCTCAATATAAACGTGTGCATTTATTGAAGATTTAATGACCCCGTACCTTTACCTGACATGCAACCCCATATCATCAATGATTGTGGAAATTTGCATGTTTTCTTCAAGCAGTCGTCTTTATACATTTCATTGGAGTGGTACCAAATAAAAGTTCCAGCATCATCACCCTGCCCAATGCAGATTCGTGATTCATCACTGCATATCACTTTCATCCAGTCATCCACAGTCCATGAGTGCTTTTCTTTAGCCTGAGGTAACCTTTTTTTTTTCCAGTTTAGGTGTAATGATGGGTTTCATTTGGCTTGTCTGTATGTAAATCCCATTTCCTTTAGACGAAGTCTTACAGTTCGGTCCAGGGGTGGACTGACAATTAATGGGGCCCCCGGGCAATAGGGGATCATGGGGCCCCTGTGTCCTTGCCCAAACTCAAAAAAGCCTATGAAAAAAGGTACCAGGGGCATCTCATGGGGCCCCCTACTAACCCCGGGCCCTCGGGCAGTGCCTGAGTTTCCAAATGGTCAGTCCGCCCCTGGTTCGGTCACAGACATGGACTCCAGTTTCTTCTCATTTGTTCCTCCTTTGTTTTGTTGGGCATTTTCTGTTTTCAAGGCATTTTGCTTTAAGTTTTTGGTTTACGTTTTGATGTCTTCCTTGGTCTACCAGTACACTTCCCTTTTACAGCCTTCCCATTTGATTTGTACTTGGTCCAGATTTTAGACATTGCTGACTGGGAACAACCAACATCTATTGCAACATTCCGTGATGATTTACCTTTCTTGGAAAAGTTTTAGTCCTCATGCACACTGGACATTTTTACAGCAGCTGTTTTTGACTTTTGATGTTTTTTTCTACAGCCAGTAAACCCCCCAGCATGTTATCCTATGTGTCCGTGCACACACAGACTGTAATCAACGTTTTTTGGCTGGGACTTTTTTGGCTGGAAAAAAAAACGAGGACTAGTGGGTATCTAGAGGAGTTTTTTAGCTGTAAAAATGCTCTAACGCTGAAAAACTTGGTAAAACGCCGCAAACCAGTGTTTTGGACTTTTTGTGACCCCAAAAAAAGCTACGAAAAGCAAACGTGGGAAAACGCCACTAAACGCTAATGCAAAAATGCAAAAAAACTGAAAAACTCACATTTTTAACGTGACTTTACACAGCTAACGTTACCAGGGTTATCAAAACACCCCGTGTGCATGAATTAATTCATATGGTGTAGCGCTAGTAAGATCCCACAATAGTAAAAAATACAAGCAATACAAAGAAATACGTCACATGTGCTGAAAGATAAACATGCAACAGAATGAATGGTCTACAATCCTGTGCCAACTCTAACATGCGTGATAGTGAGTATTATTTACTATAAATCTCATAATCATTCAAACGACTTGATTGGTGAATCTTGTCAGTGATTAAAGTGAAAAACAACAATCCTTTTCTGATAGTTCATATAAACACTCGTGCTTGACTTGAATGAAAAGAAACATGCATGTGGCAATAACGCATGTGCACTCAAGTGATGGTGTTAGCACGCTCCTCCTGTGGCTAGATTGCCCCATCACTTTAAATCTGCGACCCAAAGGGCCGTCAAGCCTTTAAGATCACTAAGGATCTTTATCCAACGGTGGATCCCTCAACTACGCTCTTGTGGACACTCCAATGGACCCCTCACTGATAGGTAGGTATTCAGGACCCTCTGTGTACTGCTTTCAACTGGGAATATCACTCATCATAGCCATGATGAGTGAAGAAGAAAAACTTCCATAGTGCAGTATTCTTGTATAAAATTTGAAATTTAATAGATAAGAAATGCACATTCACATTCACAGATGTCCCACTACAATAGGAAATAACCTCATGCCTGGGTGCACTGCATGAGTTCTGGCTTGGTGGGTGTATGAAGATGGCTGCCGCACCGGATGTGCGTCACCTCAGGCCAACCAGAAGCTGCTTCACGGCGTATCTACGCGTTACGTCACCTGTCTCGTGACTTCGTCAGGACCCCATGTGCATGGAGCCTTAATCCTCATGCACACTGGACATTTTTACAGCTGCTGTTTTTGGCTTTTGATGTTTTTTCTACAGCTCCAGCATGTCAACCTATATGTCCATGCACACATAGACTATAATCAACGTTTTTGGGCTGAAAAAAAAAACTCAGGACTAGTGGGTTTTTAGAGATTTTTAGCTGTAAAAACGCTCTAGCACTGAAAAACGCTGAAAAACTCAGCAAAAAACGGTAAAATGCAGCACACTGGCGTTTTTGGATTTAAAAAAAAAAACGCTAAAAGACGCAAATGCGGAAAAACGTGGGAAAATGCCGCTAAACACACACATAGACTGTACTCAACGTTTTTTGGCTGGAAAAAAACCCCCCAGGACTAGTGGGTTTCTAGAGGAGTTTTTTAGCTGTAAAAACACTCTAACACTGAAAAACTCGGTAAAACTCAGCAAACTGGCTTTTTTGGACTTTTTCTGACCCCAAAAAAATGCTAAAAACGTAAATGTGGGAAACTGCCACTAAACGCTAATGCAAAAATGCTAAAAAAAAGCTGAAAAACGAACGTTTTTAACGTGACTTTACACAGCTAACATTACCAGCGTTATCAAAGCACCCCGTGTGCAATGAGCCTTAGTCCTCATGCACATGGGACGTTTTTACAGCTGCTGTTTTTGGCTTTTGACGTTTTTTTCTACAACTTCAGCTTGTTACCCTATGCGTCCATGCACACATAGACTGTAATCAACATTTTTTGACTGGGACTTTTTTTGACTGGGAAAAAAAACTCAGGACTGGTGGCTTTCTAGAGTTGTTTTTGCTGTAAAAACGCTCTAACGCTGAAAATCGCGGTAAAACGCCGCAAACCAGCATTTTTGGATGTTTTTTCGACCACCCCCCCAATTTTTTTGGGGTAAAAAAAAAGCTAAAAATTCAAACATGGAAAAACGCAGGAAAACGCTGCTAATTGCAGCAAAACGCAGCTAAAGGCTAATGCAAAAATGCTAAAAAAAGCTGAAAAACTCACGTTTTTAACATGACTTTACACAGCTAACGTTACCAATGTTATCAACACGTCAGTGTGCATGAGGACTAATAATCCTATCCTTTGTTTCAGCTGACATCTCTGGTGTTGCAGCCATGATTCATGTCAATCAGCTTGGTGCAACAGTTCAGCGAGGTGTGCAAGCACTCTTGTTGTAACTGCAGACTAAAGGTGGGAATACACGATTAGAAAATCGACTGATTGGTCATCCAACGACCGAGAGGGGTTCGTTCGTTGGTTGAAATCGTGGCCCACATTAACCAATCTAAAAAAATCGCAATACGTAGCGTTGACGTCTTCCGTACAAGTGGAAGTGATGCGGTGTGTGTGTGACTTTGTAGCCACGCCCTTCCGGCCAGAACGAGCGATATACACAACAATTCCCAGCAATGAGTATAATATAGTTTATTACATGACCTATATACATAAATAGTGATACATAAAATATAATCTGCAGAATTCTGCTTTCATTATCTCATTAGGCCAATCTACTTTTAACATTTAGATTTTTCGTTCGTGTTTATGAAGATTCCTTGGACATAAACATCCGAGTCAACTTCCGTTTCCGCTCATGCATGATAGCGCTTGATTGATTTGTTTTCGTACGACCGTCATACCACTTCATAGAAAATCGGTCGTTCGTATGTGAAACGACATTTTTCACTGTTGTTCAACTGGATTTTTTCGTTCACAATATCGTTATCGGTTTAAAACATCCTGCTCATCAACAAAGAGAAAATCGTTCCATCAGTGGCTCCACAAAATTTTTCGGGTGATTTTCTTATCGTGTGTACGGGGCATAATTCGCAGATGTAATCTAATGCAGATGTTTTTTTTAGAAGTGCAAAATACATGGTGATTCCATAATATTTTCCTCAGAATTGAGTGATTCCATATTTGTTTCCTTTGCTTGATCTGCAAAAACCTTACAACTGACTACAGTTTTCTTTCTTTTTTTTTTTTTTTTAAGTGTTTCTTAAAGCCAGAAGGTTGGAATATGAAATGAAACTAGTTTTGAGCCATGTCTGTGATTGTTTTTTTTTCTGTACAATTAAACAATTGAATGAACATTTTCCAAGAGTGGTGATTCCATACTTTTTGCCAGGGGTTGTATATTTATTTATTATTTATTTCAGGTACTTATATAGCGCCGTCAATTTAAGCAGTGCTTTACATATATATTGTACATTCACATCAGTCCCTAACCCTCAAGGGGTGTACAATCTAAGGTCCCTAACTCACATTCATACATACACATACTAGGGACAATTTAGACAGGATCCAATTCACCTACCAGCATGTCTTTGGAGTGTGTGAGGAAACTGGAGTACCCGGAGGAAACCCAGGCAGGCACAGGGAGAACATGCAAACTCCACGCAGGTGGTGCCGTGGCTGGGATTTGAACCAACAATCCTAGTACTGCCAGGTGGAAGTGCTAACCATTTAGCCACTGTGCTGCCCATATATGTGTTTAAAATAGTAAATTTAGCTGTGTGCTCCGCTTTAACTCGAGCTCCATTATTCGTATGATATGTCAAAAAAAATAAAGGCACAAATGAAATGTAATTAAATCCTGCTAGGCGTGTGTGCTCCAAATGGGCAAAGCCCATGTTCCTTTGGGGCGGCACAGTGGGTTAGTGGTTAGCACTTCCATCTGACAGTACTAGGGTTGTTGCTTCGAATCCCAACCATAGCACCACCTGCCTGGAGTTTGCATGTTCTCCCTGTGCCTGCGTGGGTTTCCTCTAGGTACTCTGGTTTCCTCCCAAAGACATGCAGGTAGGTTAATTGGCTCCTGTCTAAATTGTATGTGTATGTATGCATGTGAGTTAGGGACCTTAGATTGTACACCCCTTGAGGGTTAGGGTCTGATGTGAACGTACAATATATATGTAAAGCGCTGTGTAAATTGACAACGCTATATAAGTACCTGAAATAAATAAATAAGAGCCCTGGATTTATTGTCATTCATCTTTAGGCTGGGTTCACACTAATGCGGTGTGGTACATAGCATGTGATTCGCACACGAACCGCACCGCATTCCTGTGCAAATCACATGCAATTTGTGTGCGGTGCGATTGGAGTCATACATTATGTATGGCTCGCACCCGCACCAAAAAGGTGCAGGACCCTTTTTTGGGTCCGCTCTAGAATCGGATCACATGGGTATTCACGCCTATGCGATTAGATTCTGCACATTGCACCGCGTTTTGCAGACCGATTTCGGGGTGTTGTTAACTTATTAACATACAGACACGCAGCAGCGGATCGCATGAATGGGGTACGATTCAGATGCGGTGCGGATTTCACACTGAAAACGCTGCAAGTTCTGGACCGCATCAGTGTGAACCCAGGTTGATCCTCATTATCCTAGGTGCAATATTCAAATATTGACAACTCTGCTGTATATTGTGTCACTAGGTGTCTTATGATTTGTAGGTTATATTTTCTATTTACTTCTTATCTGATCAGAGTGGACAGGTAATCTGGGTGTTCCTGTTGGCACTTCTTTATGATAAGGCTTGTGTGTGTGGTGTGTTCAATGGATGATTGACACCAGATCTGATCTCTCGTTCCTTCTGGGCGACTGGTTGTTTTACCAAGATATTTTCAAAGCAACAATTGACATGTCAGTAAAACAATTTGTAGGAAGGTGAGGACCTGCTGACAATTTTTATCTCCTGTTTTTTTTTTTTTCATCATTTATGTCTGTTCTATTGTTATAGAGCAGATGTTTTGGGAAGCACAGTTAGTGTACAGGGACATAGAGGAAGCAATTTGCAGGTTTCTACCTAGAATTTCTTAAAGATCTATTGCATTTTCAGCATTTATCCAAATTGTTATAGTTGCAGACTCTACCTGCAGTCATTTTTACAGTTATTTTAATGTGTACATGCTTTCTGAGACATACTTACATGGTCATGTTTCTTATACAGATATACACTGTAGATGCACCTGTTGGTAAATTGTACATATGACAGCATAACAATAAAAAAAACCAGTTCATTTCATTTGATCGATTATATGAAAAGTGATGAGCAGCAGGGCTGGACTGACAACTCATGGGGCCCCGTGGCAATAGGGGATCATGGGGCCCCTGTGTACTTGCCCAAACTCAAAAAGCCTATGAAAAAGGTACCAAAGGAATCTCATGGGGCCCCCTACTGACCCTGGGCCCTCGGGCAGTGCCCGAGTTTCCAAATGGTCAGTCCTCCCCTGATTAGCACTAAGGCTACATGTACACAAGACGTTTGGAAAACACTTCTGAACGATGGAAACTGACTGCTGGAAAACGTAGGTTAAAAAATGTCTGTTTAGCCACGTTTGCATACCGCGTTTATGTGCGTTTGGGCTTCCCAAATGCCCAGAATGCACTAAAAAACAGTAAAAATTAACTATTTCAGACATTTTGAGCGAAATAGAGAGAGCAGAAGCAGAGAGCAGTATGTGTTGAGATGACCTGTCTTTTCTGGTTGTATTCACTATGGATCCCATCATGATCCCTTCTCACATGGACCTGTATGTGAACACAGGTCAGAAAAGCATCTCCCCTATAAGTGGGGGTAACACATAACTTGCTCCTCTGTGGGCAATCTTCCCCTTATGAATCACTGATGAACATTCCAAATGGCACCTGATTTCAGTACAGCCGGCTCTGTGGGTAAAGCTAGACAACCACGAAGAAGACCATAGTGCAGTATGCTTTTTTAAAATGGCATGTAATTTATATAGACATATACACTCACATGGTAACCAATAAAAAAATGCCATAAAACAACAACAGAGGCAATCAGTGAAGAATAAAACCCTGCCTGTCAGATCAGCGTTGGAGCGCTGACGTCACCCCGCTGACGTCACCCCGCTGACATCACCACGCGTATCCTCCACACACCACATGACTTCATTCTAACGTACCATTAGCTGTAGACGTAATAAATATAGGGAGGGGTTCCACGAGACCTGAAAATTATTTCCAGGGTTCCTCCATTTTTAAAGGTTGAGAAAGGCTGCATTAAGGGTGTCATTTAAAAGGAATATTACAACACATCACGTTCCATTTCTTTCCAAGTGCTGCAGTAACATGCCATAAAATGCATGTAAGTACAAAGCATAGATGTGATTAGAGCCTCAACCACTTCAAGTCCGGACACTTTTACCCCCTTCCTGTCCAGGCCAATTTTCAGCTTTCAGTGCTGTCACACTTTGAATGACAATTGCGAGGTCATATTTATTAACCACTGGGATTTTTATTTTTTTTTTGCTATATAAATGAAAAGATCCAAAAATTTTGAAAAAAGTGTTTTTCTTATAAAATTTTGCAAATAAATAATCTTTCTTCGATAAATCTTGGCCAACATTTATTCAGTTATCTTTTTAGTAAAAAAAAAATAACCCAAATTAGTTTATAACCAAAAATTATAATTTTTCTTTTCTTTTTATATTATTATTTATGGTTTTTTTTTTAACATGCTGTCACCGTAGCAGTACAGTGGCACTGTACTACATGTGGGGGGTGATGAAGATTTTTTAAAACATTTTTTAACTGATTGCTTTTACACCGATAAAGGCTGTAAAAGCAATCATTTCCCCTTCTCTCTGACTGCATTCTTGCAGCCATTAAGAAATACTGTGAGAGCTGTGATTGGTCACAGCTTGTCACATGGTACAAGGCTATTCACAACATTCTTGTTTACTACTATTCATGTGATCGATCACATGATCGAGACCTCACACAGAGGTTCTGTACAGCGATCGGTGTTTGGATGGCGCCGGATCAGTGGCGATCGGCGTCAGATCGCGGTGCTGCACAGACAGGCTGTAAATGCGGGCTCCGTTTATGAACGCCAACCCGCTCCTGCACTACTCCCATCCGGCCATTTATGTACATGGGCTGGATGGGAAGTGGTTAAGGTACACTTAAGTCAGAACCGGAGGCGGACTGACTATTCGAGCACTCGGGCACTGCCTGAGGGCCCGGGGTCAGTAGGGGGCCCCATGAAATGCCCCTGGTACCTTTTTTATAGGCTTTTTGAGTGTGGGCAAGGAAACAGGGGCCCCATGATCCCCTATTGCCCGGGGGCTCCATGAGTTGTCAGTCCGCCTCTGGTCAGAACTAAAAGTGATACATATGGGAGGCACAGTATACCTGCTCAATATTACGATCTTTCATCCAGAAATTGCTGTAGTGCACTGGTCCACCCAATCACCAAACACACCCACTGGAGTCTCTTCGCTGTGTTTCCCCAGAACTTTCTGTTCAATTTACCATAATATACACTCACCAGCCACTTTCTCAGGTACACCTTGCTAGTACCGGGTTGGACCCCCTTTTGCCTTCAGAACTGTCTTAATTCTTTGTGGCATGGATTCAAAAAGATGTTTTAACCGCCTCCCGCCCGCCATATAAGGAAATGACGGACGCAAGGTGGTTCTCTCGTTCTGGGAGGACGTCATATGACGTCCTCCCACTCTAACCGTGCATTTGTGGCTCCACGGGAATGCAGCGCAGCGATCGGTAGGGTTGGACACAGCGGATCACCGATCAATGGAAAGAGCCGAAGACGTCGGCTCGGTCATGTGATCAGCTGTATCCAATCACTGCTGATCGCATGTAAATAAGGAAATGCTGGTTATCGGCATTTCTCTCCTCGTGAGCTGTCACACTGACAGCTCGAGAGGAGAGCTGGTAATCGTCATTCCTGAGAGGGGACATGTACACTGATCATCAGGCCACTGATGATCAGTGTGCCCTGATGATTAGTCTAGCCCCAACAGTGCCACTTGTCAGTGTCCATCAATGCCAGCTGTCAGTGCTCATCAATGCCACCTGCCAGTGCCCATCAGTGCCACATTAGTGCCACATATCAGTGCCTACCAGTGCACATCAATGCCAAATATCAGTGCCGATCTGAGCTCCCTTTAAGTGTCACCTATCAATGCCAGTCAGTGCTACCTATCAATGCTGCCAATCAGTGCTGCCTATCAGTGCCAGTCAGTGCCACTTATCAGTGCCGCCTATCAGTGCGCATCAGTGCTGCTTATCAGTGCTGCTTAACAGTGCCAGTCAGTGCTACCTATCAGTGCCAGTCAGTGCTGCCTATCAGTGCCACCTATCATTGGCATATATGAGTGCTGCCTTTCAGTGCCCATTAATGATGCCTATCAATGCCCATCAGTGCCACCTACCAGTGCCTCCTCATCAGTGCCCATCAGTGCCACCTACCAGTGCCTCCTCATCAGTGCCACCTATCAGTGCCCATCACTGCAGCCTCATTAGCGCACATCAGGGAAGGAGAAAAATCACTTATTTACAAAATTTTATAACAAAACTTTTTTTTCAGTTGTTTTTGGTTTGTTTAACAAAAAATAAAAAACCCCGAGGTGATTAAATACCACCAAAAAGAAAGCTCTATCTGTCTCAAAAAATGATAAAAATGTAATATGGGTACAATGTTGCATGACCGTGCAATTGTCATTCAAAGTGTGACAGTGCTGAAAGCTGAAAATTGGCCTGGGCAGGAAGGGGGTATAAGTGCCCTGTAGGCAAGTGGTTAAACCTTCCTCAGAGATTTTGGTGCATATTGACATGATAGCATCACGCAGTTGCTGCATATTTGTTGGCTGCACATCCATGAACCTTTGATACAAGGCAGGATGGATCCATGCTTTCATGTTGTTTACGCCTAGTTTTCACCCTACCATCTGAATGTCGCAGCTGAAATTGAGACTCATCAGACCAGGCAATGTTTTTCTAATGTTTTATTGTCCAATTTTGGTGACCCTGTACGAATTGTAGCCTCTGTTTCCTGTTGTTAGCTGACAGGACTGGCACCTGGTGTAATCTTCTGCTGCTGTAGCCCATCTGCTTCAAGGTTTGACTTGTTGTGCATTCAGAAAACGTATTCTGCATACCTTGGTTGTAACGAGTGTTTTTTTGACTTACTGTTGCCTTTCTATCATCTCGAACCAGTCTGCCCATTCTCCTCTGACCTCTGACATCAAGAAGACATTTTCCTCCACACAAGTGCCGCTCACGGGATATTTTCTCTTTTTCAGACCATTCTCTGTAAACCCTAAAGGTGGTTGTGCGTGAAAAGCCCAGTAGATCAGCAGTTTTTGAAATATTCAGGTCAGCCCGTCTGGCATCAACAACCAAGCCACGTTCAAATTCACTTAAATGCCCTTTGTTCCCCATTCTGATGCTCCGTTTGAACTTCAGCAAATCGTCTTCACCACGTCTAAATGCCTAAATGCATTGAGTTGCTGCCATGTGATTGGCTGATTAGCAATTTGTGTTACCAAGCAATTGAACAGGTGTACCTAATAAAATGGCCGGTGAGTGTACGTGTTCAACTAAAGTGACACTAAACAATATCCTCATGTTCCGTAAAAATCCAAACACATCCATTATCAGCAAGTCGTCTTCACCACATCTAGATGCATAAATGCATTGAGTTGCTGCCATGTGATTGGCAGATTATAAAGTGGCCGGTGAGTGTATAATGCATACAAAATCCATCATGGAGAGTGGAACCTCTCATAATGGCCTTAGGGACTGTACAGATCAGGAACTTAAAGAATAACTCCACTTTTGTTGCAAAAAAACCCCAAACATTCCCCTCTATGTACATTGCTAGGATTTTAAAGGATAAGTTTACTTTTTGTAACATGCTATGTTACACCCATATTCAGGGTGTAACATGTTACTGTAGTGCTGGCCCCTAACCTCCCCCCCTTCGCAGTTTCCTGTTGTGACAGCTAGGGGGGGATCTTCTCCCCAAGATAACTGTCTCAATTTTAACCACTTCCAGTCCGGACACTTTTACCTTCCTGACCAGGGCAATTTTCAGCTTTCAGCGCTATCACACTTTGAATGACAATTGTGCGGTCATGCAACACTGTACCCATATTAATTTTTTACCATTTTTTTGAGATAGATAAAGCTTTATTTTGGTGGTATTTATTCACCGCTGGGATTTTTATTTTTTTTTGTATGTAAATGAAAATATCCACAAATTTTGAAAAAAAAAGTGTTTTTCTTATATAATTTTGCAAATAAATAATATTTCATCATAAATCTTGGCCAAAATTTATTCCGTTATCTTTTTAGTTAAAAAGAAAATAAGCCAAATTAGTTTATAACCAAAAATTATAATTTTTAAACATTTTTTTTTTACATTTTGTTTTTATATTATTATTTATTTTTTATTTCGTTTTTACATACTGTCACCCTAGCAGTACAGTGTCACCATGGTGACACTGTACTACTTTTGGGGGGTGATGAAGATTTTTTTTTTTTACACTGATTGCTTTTACACCCATATAGGATGTAAAAGCAATCATTTCTCTTTCTCTCTGTCTGCATTCTTGCAACCATTGAGAACTACTGAGTGAGCTGTGATTGGTCACAGCTTGTCACATGGTACAAGGCTGTTGTGAATAGCCTTGTACCATGTGACCTCTGTGATCATTCACAGATTTCACACGTAGTAAGCAATGATGTCACAAGTGACATCTTGCTTACTACTCTGCATGTGATCGGGACCTCGTACAGAGGTCCCGTCCGATGATTGGTGTTTCACTGTATTCGGAGGACACAGCGGGCAGGGGAGCGCGCACAAGCAAGGTGCGGAGAGGTCATTTATAAACGGTCACCCGACCCTGCAGTGCCACCGTCCGGCCGTTTATATACAACGGCCGGTCAGGAAGTGGTTTAAAAAAAACATGGCCGTGCAGGGCTCCGCCCACCCGGTTGTGTCACTCATTCACGGTATTCTGTGAAAGGGAAAACTGCAAGTTCTGACAGCCTTTGCAGCTGTCGGCTTGGAGTTCTCTATGAACTACTGTGGCACTGTTGAGCGCCATGGTAGTTCATTGAGTCTTCCTGTCAGTGTACCTGCTTAATTGTATTGTACGGGCAAACAGATATATTGACAGGTCTGCAGGAGTCCTGCATGGCATTAGTGATATGCTGATCCCCGGTGCAAGGCTTTCCTGTAACAAAATATAGCAAATGCACATTTTTTTCCCAGCAAAAAAATGTGCATTTATGATTTTTTGTGAAAAGGTAAACTTAACCTTTAACAAACTTTTGTTAGTCTGAAGAAATAGAAGTTTGTTTGTCCATGTCCATGTGTAGGGTGAATCTGTATGGGAATGTTTTTTTAAACACTTCCCTTCTGGCCCATGTATATAAATGGCCGGAAGGGGGTAGTGCAGGAGCGGGTTGCCGTTCATAAATGGTGCCCGCCATTTTGGACTGTGTGCACTCCTCCGGACACAGCGGAACACAGATCGCTGTACGGGACCTCTGTATGGGGTCCCGATCATGTGAGCACTGATTGGCCAATCAGTGATCACATGAATAGTAGTAAGCAAGATGTCACTTCTGACATCATTGCTTACTATGTGTGAAATCTGTGAATGATTACAGAGATCACATGGTACAAGGCTATTTACAACAGCCTTGTACCATGTGACAAGCTGTGACCACTCACAGCTCACACAGTATTTCTCAATAGCTGCAAGAATGCAGCCAGAGAGAAAGCAAAATTATTGTCTTTACAACCTTTATGGGTGTAAGAGCAATCAGAGTAAAAAAAAAATCTCCATCACCCCCCACAACAAGTACAGTGTCTACTATGACTATGGCAACACTGTACTGCTAGGTTGACAGTATGTTAAAAAAAAACCCCCAAAAAACATAAATAATGATTTTTGGTTATAAACTAATTTGGGTTATTTTTTTTTTAATAAAAAGATAACTGAATAAATTGTGGCCAAGATTTATGAAGAAAGATAATTTATTTGCAAAATTTTATAAGAAAAACACTTTTTTTCAAAATGTTTGGACTTTTTCATTTATATAGCAAAAAAAAAAATAAATCCCAGCGGTGAATAAATACCACCAAAGTAATGTTTTATCTGTCTCAAAAAAATGCTAGAAAATTCATATGGGTACAGTGTTGCATTACCGCGCAATTGTCATTCAAAGTGTGACAGCGCTGAAAGCTGAAAATTGGCCTGGGCAGGAAGGGGGTAAAAGTGTCCGTACATGACGTGGTTAAATTATTAATCAGCTGCAGCACCTGCAGGGCTCTAATTAGGAAATTGTCAAAGGCCTGCATTCGTTTAGACATGATTTCTCTTTGGGAATATCTCATCAAAAATTAAATTTTTGTTTCAGGGGATGCCAAAAATCTTAGTGCAGATTTCTGGTAAAATCGATAAGCCTATCACACAAGCATGAAATGACATTTTTAGGGAGCGTTCTGTGCACCATCTGTGTACAAAACTCCTCCAGGTTTCCATATTGTATTGTATTTTACAGAAAATTACAGCAATGCAGATTGAAGAGGAAAAGTAATTTTTAACAACATTCAGATACAATATGGCTTGAGTTGCAATTGTATACGCTATATCAGGCCTTGAAATTTCCACTTGCCTACTCACCAATAGCGAGTGGAAATTATGGTGGGGACAAGAGTGTGTCCCCCAGGGGCGTATTTGCCGCGAGGCAAACAAGGCATTTGCCTAGGGTGGCACGTTTTAGGGGGGCGGCGCAGCGGCAACCCCGCCCCCCTCTTTCCCATGGAAGGGACGGGCTGCTGTGTCTTACCTGGGTCCGCAACTCCGTGTCCCAGTCCAACGTCGATCCGGTCCACGAGGCGCTGCTGGAGGAGGGGTAGAGAGGTTGTCAGCTGGTTCGGTGTCTTCATTTCCCTGGATCGTGATGTGTGGGCGGGACAACATGCCGCCCCTGTCATCTTGCCAGATTGCCCGCCAGAACTGTAGCTCAGGAAAGGCACACAAGCGGCCAATCACCTGCGAGGAGGTGGAGCTTGGAGAGGAGGAGCCGAGCAGCAGCGCCAAGATCAAAGAAGTGAGGGAGCAGTTGGCGCAAGTAAAGAGGAGAGCGGCCGGATAAGGAAGACAGCTGACCGGTAAGTGTCTGTGCCGTGCAGATGGTGCTGCTGCTGCAGCCAGGTATGCTGGCTGTGGATGGGAGAGGGAGGGAGCGAGCTCAGGCTGGAGCAGGAGTCAGTAAGGTAAGTATCATTGGTGTCAGTGGGAGGAATAGTGCCACATCATTGGTGTCACTGATACCAATGATGGGGCACTATTCCTCCCACTAACACCAATGATGGGGCACTATTTCCCCCCACTGACACCAATGATGGGGCACTATTCCTCCCCCCACTGACATCAATGATGGGGCACTATTCCTCCCCCCACTGACACCAACGATGGGGAACTATTCCTCCCCCCACTGACTCCAACGATGGGGTAGTATTCCTCTCCCCACTGACACCAATTATGGGACACTATTCCCCCCCCACTGACACCAATGATGGGGCACTATCCCTTCTCCCCACACTGACACCAATGATGGGGCACTATTCCCCCCCCCACCACTGACACCAATGATGGGGCACTATTCCTCCCCCCACTGACATCAATGATGGGTCACTATTCCAACCCCCCACTGACACCAATGATGGGGCACTATTCCTCCCCCCACTGACATCAATGATGGGGCACTATTCCCCCCACCACTGACACCAATGATGGGGCACTATTCCCCCCCCCCACTGACACCAATGATGGGTCACTATTCCAACCCCCCACTGACACCAATGATGGGTCACTATTCCCCCCCATTGACACCAATGATGCGGTACTATTCCCCCCCCCCACACTGACACCAATGATGTACATGTATCTGTGTATGTATGTACATGTGTCTGTGTACATGTGTCTGTGGTCTGTGTGTGTGTATTTCTGTGTATGTACATGTATCTGTGCGTATGCGTGTCTGTATGTGCCTGTGTGTGTATACATGTGTCTGTATGTGTACGTGTGTGTACATGTGTCTCTGTGTGTGTATGTACATGTATGTGTATGTACATGTCTGTGTGTGTGTACAGGTGTCTCTGTGTGTGTTTGTTGGTGGCGAGTAACTCTTAAGGCCTGGCTAGAAGCTCAGGACTTGACATTCTAAGCCCTGCGCTATATTATTTCTTTTTATACAATAATTTTTTTTTTTTAACAAAAGTGGAGTTACCCTTTAAGTCTAGAACACTCTCCAAAGAGTCACTTTTAAAGAATATTTAAAATATATTAAATAATTGATAATGAAAAGAGATATACAAAAATGCCAGATGAAATCCTTTAGAAAAATATAAATAAAAGCATATATGTATCTAAAGAATATAAAAGAACATAGGTTACCTGTAACGTAAAAGAAATTGCACCATCATGAATTTATAATGCTATTTAGTTAGTACCAGAAATATACAAATTTCTCATTATTTCTGAAAAAAGCTGTTTTTTTCTTTCTTCTGACTGGGTAGATGGCTCTCATCTGGCCCTCCCACAGGTGGAACCCTGCTGTATCTACTCTATCACAAATGTATGCATTGTATTGAATAAAACATATCACACATTGGTTAGCATCCTGGAAAATGACTGGGGACAAGTTCCAGGAAGGCCCTGTCTGCCTATATGTACAGTTTCCATTACAAAGGACTGCCAGTGGCACAGCATGTGGATCAATGTCTTTTATATTCACTATTCATATGTAGCTGAAAAAGAAGCCAACATTTTGCCCCTGGCCATTGCTGAGTTACATGACCTACCATCCCAAGGGTGATAGGACTTACAGCCCAACAATGTCTGGAGGGTTACATACATACCAAGAAAAGTTTGAACTCACACTCATTAAATTTCTATACTGGGATTGACATGGTTTCATAGTTTTTATAGCTATAATGGATTTAGGACAGTTTTATTTTAGTTGTTTTTTTTTAAGTTTATATGGTTTTAACCTGTATGTGCATATATATAATTTTTTCATATACTCATTTTTTATTTCTGATTTCATATACTGTAGATCATTTTTACCAGGAGTATGGAACCTTACCTGCCGGCTTACAAAATGAAAATATTAATATGCAATATTTGTATAAATATATAATATTTGTAATTTTTTTTTATTTAGTCATGAGCTTAACATATAAACAATGAAAATAAGCATCTGTTCAAATAGCAAAGTAAAAATGATTTATTGTTTTACATATTAACATAGTTTTTTCCATACATGGTTAAATGTTTGGAACATATATGCAACAAATCTCTAGTATACTATAACTATGAAGAAATATTCTTGCATGATGATTGTCTGTTTTTATCCAATCAGACCTGCAAAGATTGGGTTGCTTGATCTTTCACAAATAACATAAATGTGTATAACTAAATCTGTTCTGCACCCGTGTCATGCAAAGGACAAAGACATATGCATACAATCCCTGTATTTAGAGGTATAACTTGCTGTAATCCTGTTCTTACCATGTGGGTTTTGTTCTACAGATTTGTTGACCCAGCCACTGACACTGGATTACCTAGCATGGATTAAGAAGTGAATGATGTCCTACATACAGTATATTGCCTGGAAAGTGAAGACAAGGCAGGCCATAGACGATGCAATTGTCCTTCATCGTGACTGTGATAGTCAGTATTGATGGGGGAATCATTTCTGCAGAGCTATTATGTTCTCCCCGTGCTGGCAATAATCGCATGAAAAATCTGACAAGCTGGTTGTACCCAAATTTTACAACAATTTATTTCTGTACAATCAGCCAACCCATAGATGGTTTGACTCTCAGCTGGTCCCTACTGAACTAACCAAGATTCGAACCCTCTATAGCCAGCTTAGAAGAGCACTGGTACAGCAGTAGCAGGAATGAGCGCTGTCTGTCCTTTGAAAACCATCAGTATGAAATGTGAGGTAATGGACACTCTTCTGTCTCTTATCTCTCTCATCAGGTAAAAGACAGTAGTAAAGCTTAATGACTTCATTTCAGATGCTCAAACACACAACACAGAGGGTTCATCTCATAGGAGCTACCCAAATTGAGAATTCCACGTAAATTGAAAAGACAGGGCATGATGTCAAAAGTCCATAATCCTTTATTGTGGATAGCTAATGTTGGGCTCGATGTTCGACTCGAACATTGGCCGTTCGTGTAGTCACCGAACACATGAATGGTTAGGGTGTTTGGGGGGCTGTTCGCCTGCCTAGCTCCCCACAATGCACTGCGCTCTCTCAGTGCATTTTGAGAGCTATGAGGTCAGGTGCAATGCTTTGGCCAATCACAGCACAATGCACTGTGAGAGCCATTGATTGGCCAAAATCACGGTGACTTTGGCCAATCATGGCACACAGCTAAGTCCACACCTCACACTATATAAGGCTGCTTACACTTCAGCCTTATGCAGTGTGTTGCTGGACACTGCCAAACACAGAGGGGAGAATACTCTCCACAAAAAAAAACCAAAAACAAATAAAACACCCCAAAAAATATATTACAAAAAGAAACAGTGTGGGTCGCCCCCCCAATCCATACCAGGCCCTTTAGATCTGGTAGGGTAGGCTAGGAGGGACCCCACAGTAAAAAAAAAAAAAGTGCATGGGGTTACCCCTAAAAGTCCTACCAGGCCCTTTAGACCTGGTAGGACATTTAGAGGAACCCCACCCCCCAAAAATGGGGGAAAAAAGTGGGGTCCCCCCTAAATTCTTACCAAATCCTTGAGCTAAGCACAGACCTGGCAGGGCAGGAAAGGGAGGGGACGATCAAGCACCCCCCACTGCTTACCAGACCACGTGCCCTCTGTGTTTCTATGCCGATGAGGACAAGGGCCTCTTCCCCAAAACTCTGGCCCAGTGGTTATGGGGGTGGGTTTGTGCGCAGGGGAGCTCATTAGCATCAGGGTACCCCTTTAAATAAAGGGTCAACCTGACGCTGCCTCCCTCCCCTGAATGAGTAAGGGGTACTCTGCTAGGCAATTTTTTACATCTGACTGGCAATTGTCAGACCTGTCATATTGCAATGAGTGCTCAGCGGGTGCGGACGGGTCGGTGGGCGTTGGGTTTTTCTGTATTTTGACGAGTTGGCATCACTTGGAGAACACTGGACACTGTGATTGATGATGGATTACATCATTATAACCATTTTTTTTTTTTTTTTGTCAAAAAACTTTGTTTTGTTTTTGTGCATTTACATTTTTTTTTCAAAAATCTGGTGTGTTTATTTTTTCTAAATTTAGCCCTCAAGTGAATGAGTAGGGGTACATGTACACGCATACATGAACATAAATGCCCCCAAGTGCGTAAACTAAAAATTCGTAATGAACCCACTGCACACTGCTGTATACTCTTCCTAGCAAACTTTGTATAAAAGCAGGGATTTCTAGTTCACATTTATTGCAATACATGTTTAAGCTGGCCAACTGCATCCAGGTAATCCCTCTCTTGCCAATCCCTGCTCCACTCTGCAAAATGCAAATTCTTATTTGCTTATAGCATACTTCTGTGGATATAGTGCCAATATGGGGCAAATAGACACCAGTTGTAGGGGAACTACAGGTTTAGGTCTGGTCACTGATCTGCACTTTGCAATAGAAATCAAATATACCTTTGCTCAAATACATATATATATATATATATATATATATATATATATATATATATATATTATAAAATGTATCAGGTGTTAAAAGGGCATGGCCATATGTTAGCACTAAACAACATTCTGCACAAACACCCTGCACACTGCTATACACCCTTTCTAGCAAACTTTGCATAAAAACAAAGATTTTTAGTTCACATATATTGCAATACATGTTTAAGCTGGCCAACTGTGTCAAAGTAATCCCTCTCTGGCCAGGCCCTACACTACTCTACTTTTAATCTACCCTACTTTACTCAACTCCTAATTTATGCCTATTCTTCCCTACCCTACCCCTACTCTGCTCTTTAACTTCTCTACTCTATTCCTACATTACTCTTCTCCCACTCTATGCCTCCTCTATTCTACTCTACTTCGAATTTTCTCTACTCCTACTTTACTCCTGTTCTACTCTACTCTACTCCTACTATACTCTACTATTCTCTACTTCTACCTTACTCCAACTCTAGTCTGCTTTACTTCGATTTATACTCCTAGTCTTCTCCTGTTCTATTCTACTCTAGTCTGCGCTACTCTACTCTACTCTTGTCTAGTCTTCTCTGCACTAGTCTGCTGTACTTCATTTCCTACTCCTAGTCTTCTGCTAAACTGCTGTACTTTACTCTTGTCTAGTCTAGTGTGCTCTAGTCTACTCTACTCTATTCTACTCTATTCCTACTTTAGTGTACTCTCATCTTTTTTTAATTTTATTTATTTTTTTTAGCATATTTAATTATAAGAATTTACAATTTTTTAAGTATAAGGTAGAGCCCACAAATACAAAAAATACACTTGGCAACATAAAGATGACTTAGTATACCTAGCATACATTACTTTAAATTAACAGTTAAAACAGCATTATAGATTTGAAACAAATGATCAAATTGAGCCATTTTTAATTTTTGTATTTCTCTATTCCTACTCTAGTCTAAGCCTTCTTTAGTCTGCTCTACTCTACTGTAGTCTACTCTATTCTTAGTTTAGTCTTCTCTACTCCAAATCTACTCTACTCCAACTCTACTCCTCTCCTACTCCTTCCCTGCTGCTACTCTACTCCTACTCTGTTCTAAAATCAACTGAACCCTCTGCATAGTGTTGTACACCCGTTCTAGCAAATATTGCATAAAAACAGGAAT